GTAGTAGTAATAGTTATATGTGTTCCCACATTATGTCATTCGTTTTAAGAAACATATATAAATATTTGCCAAAAATAAAAATAAATGAATTTTTAGGTTTCAAAGCTACATAGGAAATTTCTCATTGATTAATTTGAGTAATGTTTGGTAGGCCATACATATGCTGTGTTTTGTTGGTAATTATAATTTAAATTATGTTTTCAGGGTGACCTTACTATGAACCATATAACTGGTAGAGGTGTATATAAATGGCCGGATGGTAGTACATATGAAGGTGAAGTATGTGATGGGTTGCGTCATGGACATGGTACATTTCGATCTATGAAATCACCATGTTCATATACTGGACAGTGGAACATGGGTAGAAGAAATGGTACAGTAAGTATATATTTGCATATGTATTTACCTAAATGATTCCTGTAGTCCATGGTTGAGGTTAGTTGCTTACCTTTAAAACAAATGATCAGATTTCCTTGATGATTACACTATGATTTTATTCTATGATATGTTCACAAAACCAAAATAAAAATATATGGCACCAAATTACTTTTTTGCACAAAGCCCAGAAAAATGATGATTTTGAGCGATTTACTATTGGTTGCTATGGTAATAAGTTCTTTCCATATCTCAAAATTTGGTTTGGTTGAATATGATGTGGTTATAAGATAGATACTTATGGTTGTCAAGAAATATTAGAACATTCTGGTGATTACTATTAATTTTTTAGGAAATTATGCTTTATCACTTTTTGTGGAGATTGTTCAGAAAATGTCAATTTTTGCATCTTTTTTAGGCATTTCTTCTTCATATATTTTGTACTAGGAAAAACCCTGTAAATTGATGATATGTGTGAAAACCAATATATTTGTAATCATTAGGGTATTATGAAGTATGATACAGACGGCCTGTCATTTTATGAAGGTGACTGGGTAGACAATTTACGACATGGTTATGGTGTTAGAAGATATGGATCTGGTAACATCTATGAAGGTGATTGGGCTAGTAACAACAGACATGGACAAGGAACAATGAGATGGATTGATAGAGACCAGGCATATTCCGGACAATGGCAAAATGGCATTCAGGTATGCATATTATCTTGCAATCATCTATGCTTATTCTCTCAATTTACCGCTAGAAATTCTGGGGGATGATAGATTTAGGTGGTGGAGACTATGCACACAAATAAACTAATGAAAAAAACCTACCCCATATACATTTGATAGGAAAACAAAAACTGTTCTACCATCTTCCTCAATTTTATTAAAATAAAAAAAAAATTTTTAATTTTTTTGCTATTAGTTTTTCAGAGAAATGGTAATTACTAAATTTTGTTCAGAAACAAATTTCATGCTAAAATAGTATAAAACAAGTAAATAAGTAAATATTGGAAAAAAAACTTTCTTCGCATAAGATATAATTTTAATCAGATCTTTTCCCTCCCAGAATTTCTAATGATCATTCCCTTAATTTGCCTCATTTTGACTGAAATTTAAATGAGTGATGTGACAACTAGATACATAATTATACAAAATTTATCTACCAACTCATTTTACAAATCTAACAATGTTTATTGTAGCATGGCCACGGTGAACATACTTGGTATCTGAAGAGAGTTCCTGGCTCTCAATATCCTTTACGTAACCAGTATATTGGTGACTTTGTGCATGGAATGAGACACGGCTATGGTACATTTTACTATGCTAATGGTGCCAAGTATGAAGGCGAGTGGGATAGTAATCTCAAACAAGGACGAGTGAGTAGCCACCTAACATTCCCAACATTTTGTTTTATTCTCATTTTGAAGATTTGTCAAGGACTAATTTTTGTATGAATGAATGACTCGACAGTAAAACGGTCTATTTTTTGCTGCTATGAATTTTTGTGAATTGACGATTTTATGCTATTTGTGTAGACAAAGTTTCACAGAACTGAGTGTCATATGACTATAGAGAAATTGTTACTGCTACTAAATTTTACGATTCTCAGCGATTTACAAAAATTGTTTTTTTTGCAAATTAAAGCAGTTTTCATTAGATCGTAACAGCTTACCATAACTTCACTGTGCCAAGATGCTCATTAATTTGCTTTGTTTGAAAAATACTAGACGTCAAAAAAATATGTATAACAAATAGTCATCATTATCATTACATATTCATGGAAAATATGAAGGCAACATGTGATGGTTATTTAACATTTGTTTACTAGGGAACATTTACTTTCAAAAATGGCCGTGTATTTGAAGGAATGTTTATACAGGATAGAATGGTGGAATATCCACAGTTCACCATGGACGGAATGAGTACACCGGATATCAGTCAAATCCGAACTAAAACACCAGACACATCAGCAGCACCATTACAAGGTCAGTATCACTTGAATGCTATTGATCATAATAAATGTTTCAATCAATCAATCAATCAGTTTATTTAACCTCAGGAAACATTTGCTAATGCAAGAATTACTGATTAAACTATATACATCCAATTGAGAGTAAAAAAACAGGAAAACAAGTAGTGTGTCAGCTAACTTTGATAATATGTTTTTGTACTAGGTGATGATAGATCTGTATTGAGTAATGAAAGTCGTAACACTTTGGGTCCAAGTCTGACTTTAGATATTGATCATTTACTGGATGACTTCAGTGATGAAGATAGAGAAGAGGAGTTGAAACAAGTATGTTGTCTTAATTTTCACTTTGTTACTTGCAGTTTTCTGTAAATTTTCTTAAATAAATGCCAAATCAAAAAAATTTCTGAATCACCTTGAGGACAACTCTATTCACCTGCTTAGGTCAGTCAGTAGAATGACCACACTGGGACTATTTCAGTTTTACGCCGATCAGGGTTATATCCAGAACACGTCAAAAACTATTCTAATGAACTAGCAGAAATGCAAAAGTTTGTGCTCTATGTTTTGGCGATCATTTATTGCTGTTTTCTAAATGACAGGAAAACTTAAAAGTGGTTGTCTAAATATGGAAAAAAATTCATTAACAAAAAAATTTTTTTTCACTCATTCTCACTTTTTTTATTACACCAGAATGTCACCTCATAGTTCTATTACTAAATGCTACATAGCACTCTTAAAAAATGAAATGCTCGCTTACTATACTAGCAGTGTCCCATCAAATTAAGTCTTGAAATTTTGTTAAATTGTATTGAAATTGACATTGCATATTTGATTAAAGACTTTTACATGATTGTTGCAGGTGATGTTTGTTATTTTAAGACACATAACAACACTGAAGAAAGTGTATAATTTCTACGCTGGACTCGGACACGATGCATCTCCAGACAATACTTTTATCATGACCAGATTGCAGTTCTGGAGATTTCTAAAAGATTGTAAATTTCATCACCAAGATATAACACTGGCTGAGATTGACAGATTGTTAGGTTTGTACTTCAAAAATGTATTATTGTTTAGTGTGTGTTCCTATCATGGAAGGTACTAGCGGAAGAAGCCACAACGCTATTGTTTTAGCTTTACCCTATGATCTTTGTCAATGTTTGTTCACAACATTGGTTCTTGTTAGCTCTTGGCACCTTCTTACAATGGGTTACGCTAATCTCGAGTATGCGGTAATATTCAGAGCATTTTTGGTAGCAATAGACGAACTGCGCATACACAAGGTTGAAAATGACGTCTAGTTGAAATGTTGTTGTTTCCGGCGATTTTGGCGAATTTTAATGAAAAATTGGCAGATATAACATTGATTGAATAAGAACTGATGAACTATCGTGAATTTTTTAGCTCCGATGTCGACTTTGTCGAGCTTATCATATGAGTGATTGTCTGTCGTCGTCGTCGTTCGTGTCAATGTTTTACTTTTTCGACTTCTTCTAGAAAACTACAAGCCTGAATGCTTTAATACTTGGTGTATATGTACCTTGGGTAGACCTCAATTAGGTTTGTTCATTTCATGTTGATATCTTTAATTCTCTAATTTTAGTGAATATTTTTGTCATTTTTGGTAAAAAGTGATATTTTTGACTTCTTGTTAAAAACTGCAAGTCCAATTGCTTTGATATTACATATATAGGTACTACATGTGGTGGACCTCTCTCAGATTTGTTCAATTTGTAATGATATCTTTAATTCTCTAAATTTGGTGAATATTTTTGTCATTTTTGGTAAAAAGTGATATTTTCAACTTCTTGTTAAATACCGCAAGTCCACTTACTTTGATATTACATATATAGGTACTACATGTTTACCTATCTGAGATTTGTTCATTTCGTGATGATATCTTTAATTCTCTAAATTTGGGGAATTTTTTGTTAATTTTGGTAAAAGTGATATTTTTGACTTCTTGTTAAAAACTGCAAGTCCAATTGCTTTGATATTACATATATACCCCCGGTAGGTACTACATGTGGACCTCTTTCAGATTTGTTCAATTTGTAATGATATCTTTAATTCTCTAAATTTGGTGATTATTTTTATCATTGTTGGTGAAAAGTGATATTTTTGAATTCTTGTTGAAAACAGCCCATTGCTTTGATACTATACATATTGTTCATTTTCTAATGATATTTTATGTTCTATAATTGGAATGTGCATTGCTAACAGCAGAGCTATCTCAGCCGACCGACTGCTTGTTTTGTATTTGTAATGATGACGGGACGTAGTCCATGATTGCCTGTGACAATAACGATTGCATTATTCAATGGTACCATTGTCAGTGTGTGGGTTTAACACCTAAATCGACCACCGGGCATCGGCAAACACCACCAGAAAAGATAATATCTGTGATAATATTTTTTACGAGTTCTTTGGAATTTTTGTTGTACACACTCGAAATCTTGTTCTCGTTGCCAATTGCTAATAATAAAATCTGTGAAATTAACGTTCATCTGTTGAATTTCCAGTTGTGAAATGCGTATTTTGAATTTTCACACCTAAACAAACTGAGTGCGCATGTGTGATGACCGTAGTTTCATAATGCGCATATATTTTATGGTCACGTTAAAAGTTGGCGAGGTTATATCATATCCCTCTAACTCGTTACTTGTGTAAACAATCGCAAACTATCATTGACATCAAAGATGAGCTAGACAATGTCCTTATCAGGATTAACTTGGGTTGAAACAAAAGGAAATAAGCCACTTAAGAGGCTAAGTGTCCACTTGAGGGGCATTGTGGCTCCTTCCGTTAGTACCTTCCATGGTCCTATCCTGCTGAAAGCCTCAATGGATAACTAATATGGATGGTGTAACAGTGTCAGCAGTTGATACATTAATCACATAATATATACTATACTGTGACCTGGCTTTTACTATACACCCACCTGCTTAGTTGTTAACCCTGAGGGTTGTTCATTTCAGCATTTGGTGAATCTCCCGTTGAATTAATACACTCACCATTGGATAAATTGTTAATGAGAGAATTCCTGAATCATGTGATTACGTTGTCATGGCAATTATACAACCAAGAACACACGTAAGTAGAAATGTTGTCACAGCAACTACATCAGATGAACATTTCTCAAGTAGGTGAAAACCAAAACAATATTTACTTTAATTTATAATCATAGTTATGATTGTCTTCCTCTACCTTGATAGTATTAGTTGTTCAAGTTTGAAAACTGAAAATTAAGTGTGTGTTAACGACAGTTCATTAAACTCAATTAGCATTGGTGATGAAGCTGAATGTTATTTTTGAACAATAGTTTTGTATGATAAATGTTTCATTTTAAGTAAAAGAAAGTGTTTTTGCTAGCTTTCAGACTTATGCAAACCAATTTTATTCTAATTTTGCACTAGGATATGGGTTCCATATGCATATCAATTCTTTTCTAAACATAATGTATAGTTATAAATATTGGTATGGTCTAGGCTAATGTGATGATATGGGTGCAAAAATAGGGTCAGCCATAATATATATTTGTGTATCCCCTGATTTATACCAATAGAATAGAATATATTATGTAATCAACTGACTATACATTGTACTTGACAGTGGTAATGGTTGTATTCTATCATGGTGTTTATCTAAGGCTATCCGGGATAATATCATTCCATATGCATGTAATGTACAAGGTACATTCTTGTATGATCCAAGGAGAGCTGTTAATGCCTTGGGTTATATGGATACATGCTGGGAAATCTATCAATCTCTGTGCACACCCAGATGTGTAAGTATCATGTACACTAGCATTCAAGCTGCTGTCTGCATTTTTTTACAATTTTGTTGCTGAATATGACTGGTATAAACAGCCTCCTCTAGGGCATTTTATTTTCCCAAACTATGAACTAAATCTATCGGTATTTGATTTTTTGTTTAAAGTTGCTGTAAGGCCTTTTTATTAAGTTTGCTTGTACACAAATACCTTCCTTATTTATTAAAAGATATTTATAAATATAGTCTCCTTTTCAAATTAGACACTTATTGCTATACACTTATAGAAATGTTATTCCTAAAGAAAGAATAACAATTATTATTAACAATAATGATTGAAATTATGATACTGGTATCCAGGGTGACCTCTCTTATTATGTTTCTTTAAAAAAGCAACAACACTGCTCTCATATTTATCACATGTTGTGCTTTATTGTTGCCGTGGGTTACCTAAAGTGAGACTTTTCACTCATCATTTCTTTCAGTATCCCCCCTATGAGCCGTCTCTAAAGATGAGGGAATTTCTGTTTATGTTGAAAGACTACAGACTTATTAATGAGAGACTGACACCAAAACTGATTCTCGAAATACTTGCTGCAGACAACCCTGCTGTCTATGATGGTACTGACTGTAATCTTCAACTTGAGGTAAACAAACTCAATTTAAATTATAATGACTGTTTCCATAGTTACTGTCACTGCTACCTGAAAAAGTACTGAATTATGCCACATCATGTGTCAACTGATAACTCTTTTTCTGGTTGTGTTGGTAATTTGAGATGTGTAGAAAAGATGCAAATGAAAATAACGTATTTCCTCCATTAGCACTGCATGCACTTATGTGCATTACAAAGCAAAACCACATTTTAATGATTCAGTATACAACAAATTGATTTTGGGTTTATATACGCTTCTATTGAAAAATCATTTTTAATAGAGAAAATATGGTACATATGGTCTCTTGGAAGCGATAAAAAAACAATTCTAATATATTATAGTCCTTGGAGTTGATATCATGTTGTCATATTGCAAAACATGCTATGTATTAGAGGATGAAATCCACTTCATTACATTTTGTAAAGCTTACTCTTCTGAAAGAAAGACTCTTTACGATGAATTTAACAAAATATTTACTAATTTACATGAGATGGACAAAACAGAAAAATTCAAGACAATCATCAACGCATCAGATAAACATTTACTGAAAACACTAATCCAATACATTGATAATGCAAACTTGAAAAGAAGCATTTTGTAACTTTCTTTGTTTTTGGCTCAACGGATTATATACTGTAGGTCCGCTGAGCCACAGTCCCTCTATCATATATCATGATAGAGGGACTGTGGCTGAGCCTATGGGATGGGTTTCTGTACTGCGTCTGTCGGTCGTCTATCTGTCTGTGCACGACTTCTTCTCAAAAACCACTGAACCGTTTGAATCGATTTTTGGTGTGTGGATGCCTTGATGAGTGTAGATGGTAATTTGTTCATGAGAAGCCGATCTGCCAAAAATTATGCAAATTAGCCCCCCAAAACTCTAAAATTTCTTCTATGCTACTATGACACTAAGTGGTCTACAGTGCTGATATTGATAGTGCATGTGCCTTGGGTTGTCAAATTTTTAATATGGAAGAATTTTCAGTTTTCTATCAGTTTTGTTAATTTGGTAAGGAAATTTTCAATTTCCTAATTTTGGCGAATATTTTAAAAATGGTCATTTTTGGTCAAAAATTCTATTTTCGACTTCTTCAAAACAGGTAGCCTGAATGATTTGATACTTGGTGTGTATGTACTTTGTGTTGACATCTACTAGATTTGTTCATCCCATGACCATATCCTTAATTCTCTAATTTTGGCAAATATTTTTGTCATTTTTGGTTAAAAATGGAATTTCAACTAACCACTATTGCAAATGTCAACTGTTCCTTATTCTCACATAGCACATGGGAGTTCTAAGTTTTCTTTGATTGGTCTATTGTGATTGTAATGAAAACATAATCACTCAACATATTTAAATGTGTATAGACATGATTGATTTTGGTGGAAAATTACACAAATTGCCTAATTTACATACCAATATTTAGGCTATTTTGGTGATATCTTGAGAACCATTTAATGTTTTAATAAAACTTGGTGCATAGATGTGTTGGGGCAGTTTCCAGAATTATTTAGTTTTTGGTGGACATTTATGCAAATTAGATAATTTGCATATCAGCGAGTGAAATTCAAGCTATTTGGGCACTATATTGTATTGTATTGTATTGTATTGTATTGTATTGTAATGCTGATTGTCCGTCGGTGTTCCTAACTTCTTCTTAAAAAACTTTTTGAAACTTACCTAATTCTAGTGAGTTTTAGGTTAAAAATGCTATTTTTAATTTATTGATATTTGATGTGTATGTACATTAGGTATTTTTGCTGAATATTATTCTTATTGTTCTATTGTTTCAATATTTCTTTCACATTATACATCTCATACAGTGTAGCTATATCAGATGTTGCAGTAATCACTCGATGTCATATTTGTTATGAAGTCCATGCTACAAAACATGTAATATACATTTACATGAACACCCGTTGCGCAATAACCATGGAGCTTTAACTATCATCCAATCATTTAATGTTTATCGGTAATTATATTTGTTACATTTCAGATGACTTTTGTGGAATTCTTTGAAGCTCTCATTGGTTGTTCAGTTGTTTATGTAACTGAGGATTTAGTTAAAGATCCGAATACACCCAGACCCAGTACTGTCATGTCACAAGTACAAACTTCCTTTAGTACAACAACACAGGCTACAGCATCCAGGGCTAGTGGAGTGAGTATTTCATAGCATCATAATAAAATATATAATAAATAATAAATAATAAAACTGTGTTATTACATTTTGATATTTCTATGAAAATCCAAGTAATCTGAATGGACCTTTAAAACCATTTGATATCACCAGCTAAAACAATATCCAATATGTTTCTTGAAATATTGTCCACAGTTATAATAAATCTGAATGTTTCAGCGTGTTTCAATTATCAATGAAAATATGGACTTATAATTTTCTGTTCTGTGAGATCCAGCATTGTGTGAAATCAAACGTACAAAACAAATTTGTAAAAATTTTGTGTGATAATCAACAACTGCAAAACTGTTTACTTGGTGTTTCTACATTTAATAAAATATGCTATGCAATTCTGCAGAAGTAAATATTTTGAAACTCAACAATTCAACATTAAACTATAAAATAGAAAGTTCAAAATCTAATTATTCAATTTTTGCAAGGAGACAGTTGGTACATTATGCCAGCTCTCTCAGTGAATAGAAAGTCACCTATTTGACAAAAACACAGAACAAATGTAAATAATATTAAATTCCTTTATTTATTTGTTAAAAAACAGTGTATACTAAACAAAACAAAAGGTAAACAGACAATTAGAAATAGATACAAATGTGTGTTTCTGATAGATACTTGATGAGAATGCAGATGAACAAGGTACAACAGGAGCTGTATCACCAGCACAGAGACAGAATATATCACCAGAAACAGTATCACCACAGATGAGGGCTATGTCATCAGTAGATTTAATTCATAAATTATCAACTGATGTCTCCTCTAAACATGATGTGAGTATTTAGCAGTGAATTTATAGTATGCATAAATCTGTACAGACATATTCCAATATTCTTTGTCTTATTCCTCAGCTCCTGAGAGCGAGGTTATTTGTAGATATGCTGGCGATCGCCGCTGTGTCTGCGGAAGTACTATGGGAGATTGCATGATGGGAGTGAAAAGTCTTTTGATCAGTAAGATAATTTTAGAAAAGTGAAAACTAAAGTGACTGTGAAATAAAGATTTTAAATATTAAATATCATGGAATCTGGATGAAATAATGAAAGGAAATTGAACGGGTATGAAAGGGAGGTAAATGTAGCTGGAATGCAGGGTCAGAATCCAGGGTCAAAATACGTCACAATACATCCATCATCATCCATCGGCTGTCAACAACTATGGATGCGGTAAAAGTCTTGATTTGCAGTTTGTGTGAATGGCCGGGGGGAAAAAATCATGCCAATTCTGTGCTTCAGTAACAGTATTTGCTGCTCTTTTGTGCAATGGGAATTAATTCAAGAAATGCTGTCAAAGGACATTTCCTTCTAGTAACAACCCTGGGACGTTTATCTTGAGGAATATGAGAAG